CAGAGAGCAGGGACCGACTCCTACTGCATCTGGCAGTGGCCGACAGCAGTAACTGCCAGTGTCACCCACGCATGGCATCAGGGATGCTGGAGGACCTGCCCCTTGCCTGCTCATGACTGTTGTGAGACCTGAGATCTCAAGTGCAGAGATGAGACTGGATCCAGCCCTCTCTCACCAAGACAGTGGTGGGGCAGGGGATGAGGCACAGAAGAGAGAAGAGTTGCCATGGTGACCGATTTTGCTGGTTGCCTGGGACTGAGAGGATGCTAGGACACAGTTCTGAGAAAATCTCAGAGAACCTGGGTCAAGTGGGTCATGGCATAGACAGCTGCACGCCAACCAGGGCAGGCACACAAATTTGTACTCAACGCTGCACACAAACTGCCCCGCCAGCCTCTGTGGAGCGCGGAAATGGAGCTTGTGGTTATTTATTCATTTATTTCCTGAAGGCAGCTCAGAGACAGAGGATTCTGTGCTTCGTGCCCTGAAGTGACTTCATCATTTAAACAGAAATGAGCACATCAGAGTCTTGCACTGAGCACACACTAGCACCCTGCCCTGTGGCAGATTCTGGGTCAGGAGGACAGAGGCGAAGGAGAGGCCAGTGGGAGTCCTGGTCGCCTTGGAGAGGAGGTGGGCACTCGGCCACCGTGCAGGGCTGCACACCAGCCCATCATCCAGCTTGCTGTGCTTGGGGTCTGAACCATTCCTGCTGAGCAGAATGAAGCAACAGAAATACCCCTCGGGGCCGAGGAGATGGCTCAGTAGAATAAGCACTTGTCTGGCAAGTGCAAAGGCCTGAGTTCAATCCCCAGTTCCACACACACACAAAAGAAAGAAATACCCCTGAATTCCTCTCTTCGTGTTTCTTTTTTTCTTTTTTTTCTTTTTCTTTTTTTTTTTTTTTTTTTGTGTGTGTGTGTGTGTTTCTTTTAATACCATAAAAGAAAGCTTGGCGGTGGAAAAGACATGCACAAATACTTCTTACTATTAATATCCCATTAATATTCACTTCCAAAAGTTTACTTTCATTAAAAAATTAGGCTCAGAGGGGCTGGTGAGATGGCTCAGTGATCTAAGGCACCTACTTAGAACAAGCTTAGCAAAGCACAGGGACCGTGGTTCAATCCCCCAGCACCACATGCCAGCCAGCCCCGCCCCCTGGTGGGCTGAGCTGGCCATACACACACACACACACACACACACACACACACACACACACAATAAATAAATAAACTTAAAAAAAATTAGGCTCAGAGCAATTAGACAAAGGAAAGAAATAAAATGAATAAGAATAGCCAAGGGAGAGGTTTAATTATTATTTGCAGATGACATGATACTCTACATGCAAGAGTCCAAAAACCTCATTAAAAATCATATAAATCTATTAGGCAAATTCAGAAGCATAGGTAGCTACAAAGTCTACGCTCAAAATTCAACAGCTTTGCTGTACATAGATACAAACTCACTGAGAAAGAAATCAGGAAACAACATCTTTCATAATAGCATCCAAAACATGAAATACCTGGGAATCAATCTGATGAAGACAGCAAAGACCTCCATATCAAAAATTATAGAGCTGGAGAGATACATAGTAGAATAAGCACTTGCCTGGCAAAAATTATAGTACTCTGTAAAAGGAGATTGGCTGGGGATATAGCTCAGCAGGATAAGTACCTGTCTGGCAAGTGCAGTGTCCCAAGTTCGATCCCCAGTACCATAATAAAAACAAGGGGGGGTAGAGATCAGCAAGGATATTAGAAAACTGGAAGGTATCTCTTGTTCTTAAATAGAAAGAACCAATATAGTGATGGCTCAGTGGAATAAGTGCTTCCCTGGCAAGCGCAAGGGCCTGAGTTCAATCCCTGGTTCCGCCAAAAAAAAGAAAAAAAAGTGAAAATGCTCATACTTCTGAAATCGTTATACAGATTTAATGCAAATGTCAAGAGCATATCTCATAGAATTAGAAAACACAAGCCTAAAATTCACTTGGAGCCAGAAGAGACCTGGAATAGCAAAGGCAATTCTGAGCAACAAAAAGAAGCCTGGGGCCATCACAACTCCTGACTTGAAGTTATACTACAAAGCTACTGTGATAAAAATAGCATGGTTAAAAAACAAACAGACGAACACGGCATGGTCCTGGCAAAAACATAGACCGGGGCCGGGGAGATAACTCAGTGGAATAAGCGCTTCCCTGGCAAGCGCAAGGGCCTGAGTTCAATTCCTGGTTCTGCCAAAACACAGACCTGAGATACAATGGAACAGATTAATAGATACAGAAACAAGTGCAGACATACTCAGCAACCTTATCTTTGACAAAGGAGTCAAACACCTTCACTGGAAGAATGATAGCCTCGTGCATGAATGGTACTGGAAAAACTGGCCTTCCACATGCCGAAGATTAGATCTGTATCTTTCACTATATCTTTCAATACATCTTTCACCATATAGTAAACTAAAATTGAAATGGATCAAGTATCTATATATTAAAACAGAAACACTAAATCTGCTGCAAGGTAGCATAGGTAGGACTCTTGAAAACATTGGTGTAGGCAAAGACTTTATGAACAAAACCCGGAACACACAAGAACTATCACAAAGAATCAACAAGTGGGATGCCATCTTATTAAATTTCGTATAGCAAGAGAAATCCCCAAGAGTGAAGAGACAACCCAAACTATGGGGGAGTTTTTTTTTTTTTTTTTTTTTTTTTTTTTTTTAGACAAAGTCTCAGTATGCAGTTCATGCTGGGCTTGAGCTCACTTTATAGCCCAGGCTGCTCTGGAACGCCCAGCAATCCCTCTGCATCAGTCTCCTGAGTGCTGGGATTACAGGTATGCATATCTATGCCCAGCGTGTGAGAAAAATTTTTGCCAACTGTTTCTCATGCAGAGGACTACTGTAAAGAATATATAAAGAACCTCAAAAAAAAAAAAAAATCAGACCCTCCAAAGTTAAAAACCCAGTCCAAAAACAAGCATCTGAAATAGACTTTCTCCGATGAAGAAGTAGAAAGGGCAAATAAATAAATGAAAAAATATTCAACATCACTGGTCATTGTACAGATGCAAGCTAAAACAAAGGTGAGTGTCCATCTCACCCAGCAAAGCATGGTTATTATCTTTTTTTTTTTTCTTTCAGTGGTACCAATAATTAATTCTGGCAGAGAAATGTGGGGAAAAAGTAGCCCTTCTCCACTGTTGGTGGGACTATAGACTGGTGCATCCACTGTGGAAATCAGTGTGGAGATTCCTGAGAAAACTAGGAGCAGAGGATCCTAAATGGACACACCAGGAGACCATACTCCTAAGTGAACTGAATCAAACACACGTGTGTAAATATTGATTGTATGGTTTCTCTGATGTAAGAAACTGAAAGTGTAAATGAGTACAGCATGTGGAATAGGTAGTGGAGAACGGGAAGAAAATGTTCAGATGAGAAAAGAACAAGGCGGGAAGCAAGGAAAGAAGAGGGGAAAGAAGGAAAAATAGAAATAAAAGTTTCGTAAAAAATTAGGCTCTCAGAGCCAGGGAGCTAGCTCAGTGGCGTAAGCACCTGCCTGGCAAACAAGGTCCTAATTTCAGTCCTTGGTACAGAAAAATAAAATAAATAAATTAGGCTCGAGACGTCGAGAAGGGACAGAAGTGTAGTGTGGTGAGAGTGGGAGTCAGTATAAGTTTTGTTGTCCTAATGATGCAGAGACTTGAATGTCATAATAAAGACTTCATATTTTAAATTTAAAAAAAAAAAGAATCCTTTTATTCAGTGAAAAGACAGGTATGTATATGCTGATAATGTTTGGACAAGATTTCATGCCTATATCTTGTACTATAAA